CCTCTCCTCATCCAATCAAGGGTGCTCACCCTTACCAAAGCACAGCCAGGTTGCCTCAGGAAGTTAAAATCAAGGTGTAATATAGTTTAGCTCAACACAAGCTGTCGTATTACCTTAACTTATCTTTTTTTCACCCTGTTCCTCAAGGCCTCTCGGTTGCCCCGGCACAAAGCAGCCTGATGGGCATCTACAACGGGGAGGAGTTTGTGTTTGAGGAGAGCAGCTGGTACATTGTCAACCTCCTCAAGCTCCTCTGGCACTATGGGCTCAACCCCCTGAGGATGTACATCTGGGTGGAGAACGTCCTGGACAAGTTCATGAGGTATGTCAGGCTCCTGCTAGGGAAAAGGTGGGAAAGGGGCTGCAGGAAAAGCTGCGAGCTGTAAAAACGGGTGAAATCACCCCCTTGCCACTGAGAAAGGAGCCTGTGGTTGCCCTCTCTCCGTTGCTGGTCATTTTTTGAAGGGAAAAGTTTGAGATATGTGATAAAAGAATTAAATTCATAATGGTGCACAAAATTAGGAAAGATCAGTAAGGGATTAATGGAGGTCCAGGTCTGCTTAGGCTGGGCTTGGCTGGAAGGAGAAGCTGTGTTGTTCTTTTGGGCTGCACTGTGAGATCCTCCACGGCTTCTGAAGGCATCCAAGATGAATGGATAGCAACCAAACACCTATTTCTTGCCTCTGCTTGAAGGATCTATCGCTACCAGGCGCACGACTACGCCTTCAGCAGTAATGAGAAGCTCCTCCACGCCCTCGGAGGGAAGGACTTCACCCTCATGCTCAACCAGACCATTGATGAAGCCATGCAGAGGGCTGGCTTCTCCCACAAGTTCATAAACGAGCTGGTTTGTCCGGCCATGAGAGTCAATTATGGGCAAGGTGTCAGCATCAACAGTTTTGTAGGTGAGTGTTTTGTAGGTGAGTGTTTTGTAGGTTGACCTCGTGCTCCTCGTGGCTGTTGGAATTCCTGCTCCTGTGCAGCAGAATGTGCTGTGTCACTGCCTCACTCCCACAAATCTCTGGCTAACCTGCTTAGCTTTCAACAAACTGTGTCCCAAAGGGATATTTTTTTTTTTCCCCCTAATTTTCCACTTTCTGTCTCAAATACTCCCCAGGAATGATGCTGAACAGGCTACTCTAAAGACCTTGGTTTCCTTGTAGGTGCTGTTTCTCTGGCAGGGGTGCAGTCGGGTCTTTGGTCGGTGAAAGGGGGAAACAAACTCATCTGCAGTGGTCTTCTCTACGCCGCCAAAGCTGAAGTTATCCACGGCAACGTTCTGTCAATAGAGCAAAAAACCAGACCCAGGTCCACGGGTGAGTTGGGTTTGCTTTGGTGGGGAGGGGAACTGCACGTCCTGGCAGCTGGAGAGCAACCTCAGCCTCTGTCACTGCTTGGCTGTGGCCAAAGTGAAAGAACTTGGTTGCTCCTTGGCCTTTGGAGATGAAAAGTGGGCTCTGCTCAAAGCCCCAGCTCGCAGGACTGGCTTATAAAGCTGCTTCAACTCACAGCAAAGCGGGGTGGTTGGAGGGACCGATGGGGTTCTCCCCAGCCGTGGGGTGGGGTAACAGAGCTCTTCTCCCCAGGGGAGCCGGTGAAGCTCTACCAGGTCACCTACAACACTACCTCGGGGCTGTCGGGGGACATGTACGACATCGTGGTCATCGCCGCTCCGCTGGGCCGCAGCATGGCCAACATCACCTTCAAGAGCTTTGACCCCCCCGTCCCTGATTTCCAAAATCCTTACCACCAGACCGTCACGACGCTGGTGCACGGGCGTTTAAACGCCTCCTTCTTTGGTTACCAAGACCCATCAGCCTTTCATTTCAACGCCATCTTCACCACAGAGAACCCCAAACTCTTCGTCAACAGCCTCGGGGTGGTGTCTCCCGTGGAAGATGTAAGCACTGAAGGGAAGCTGCCCTTGCAGTCGGCCGTCTGGAAGGTGTTTTCTGAGGAGGTGCTCACCAAAGAGCAGCTCAGTTTGCTTTTCTCCTCCTACGACTCCGTCAAGGTGAAGAAGTGGTTGGCATACCCCCAGTACAGCCCCCCTGAAAAATGTCCTCCTGTTATCCTCCACGACAACATCTACTACTTGAACGGCATGGAGAGGGCTGCCAGTGCCATGGAGATGAGTGCCATTGCAGCCAAAAACGCCGCCCTGCTCGCCCACCACCGCTGGCACGGCCACGCCCACAAGATTGACCAGGAGGATCTGCATGAGAAGCTCAAAACGGAGCTTTGAGCCCCAACAGAGTCGACTGCAACCTCCACGCCGTAGCCTCTGGAGGTGCTGTAGCTGTTGAGCCATGATGGGAGCTAGCCAACGAGGAAATCTTTGCTTAGCCTGGAAGAGGAGGCACCCAGACAAGTCAAGACAGACCAGCTCGGCAGGGAAAAGGTGGTGGAAGCTTCCCCAAACCAGCTGGCTCTTCCTCCAGGAAACAATCCTCTTGGCCTTTCCTTGAGGAGCTTTCCCCTGGCCCTTCCTGGAGGAAACTCCTTGATCCATCCACTACATGAAACTAAACAAGTTTTAAATGCCATATGGACCCCAAAAGTGCCCTCCCTGGTCAAGAGTCCACCAAAGTCAGGACCTGCAGCACTGTGATTAACCTGTGTACATTTTCTGCAGAAAAAAAATGAAGCTGGTGACTGTAAATCTTGCTGCCTCGGCTGTTTTAAGTGGTTATTCCTCAGGGTGGGACTCGTGCAGTGGAAGTTTGGGCTGAGTTCATTCTGCAAGCGAATGGACACAGCCCAAAGTGCTGCAGGGGTGGTGGGGCTGGTCTGTGGGGCACATGAGGTAGTGAAACAGCAAAACGACCCATTTTTCACTTTGCCAGGGGTTCAAAGTGTTGATAATTTTAATCAGCTGACCCCACGAGGTTTGAGTAGGTAAAAAAAACCCTTTTCAGGACAATCTGGTGTCCCTTGACTGTGTCTGATACCGTGATACCTCGACAGTGTCCAAGTTCACACACCCTTTGGAGGTTCTGTGGATTTTGTAGCCCAGGCCCATCCTCACTGCCAACAATAAAGCCTAAAAAAAAAGATGTTCCCATACTTGGAGCCCGTGTTACCCCCATGGAACAGGCTTCCTGCTCAGCCAGGTCAGGAAACCCTGAAAAGGAGGCTGAGGGTTTGTGCTCGTGGTGTCTGAAGGGTGCTCAGCAGGGTTGTAGTGATCATTCCAGGCAGTGATTGCCTCATTTCCTGAGAAAACCATTTGAGCTCTGCCCAAAATTTGCTTTCTGCAGCTCTTGGCATCTTTAGTGGTGCTTGAAAAGCGCTTAGAACCTCTGTATTAAGAGCACAGTGAAAAAAGTGACAATGAAGGCCCCTTTGCTCTCAAAAGCAAAGCAGAAAGGGCAGTTTCTACCCATCTCCTGCTCAGGAGAAAGATCTGAAGGTTTCTTCAGTCTAGTTCAGCCCCTACAGGCTTTGGCTCCTGCACCACATGATGCAGAAATAAGAATAAGTCATTATTAAAAAAAAAAATAATGAATAAATCCTACTTTGAGGGAGCCTGGCTTGGCACAAATACTCTACATCACTCCTTGGAGGGGAATTTCCCCTTTTTCCTGCCAATTAAGACCAAATAACTCACCAAACAAACAACACAGCTCTGGAGTTCATTCTTTACGAGATGCTCCAGGGAGAGACACCAAAAGTAGCAGCAGTTTAACATCCAGATCAAGAAACAAACCCTCCTGAAAGCCCTCCCCAAGTCTGAAAACAGAATTAACAACAGTGGTTCGGATGCCTGAAAAAGCAACCAGGACTGAACTCAAGTTCCTCAACCATTAGAAAAATTTATTTAACAAAAAAAAAAAAACACAGCAAAAACAGTTTACACTGGGGGCTGCTCTGCAGGAGATTCATGAGTGACTGAAGTGGGTGGGTTCAGGCTCCTCCTGGCTGGTACAGAGGTGGTTCTCCAGGGCTATACTCGTTCCAATGCTTCCAGCATGATGATGCTGTTTCCTCGGATCACCTGAAAAATGAGGATTTTTAGAGCAGAAGCAGCACAACGTGTCCCCTTTCCCCTGATTTATTTTGTGAAAAAGCTGCCTGGTGCACTGAAAACTGAAGCGTGTTTCCCCACAAACATGAACACCCACTCATTTGAAGCCTAAAACCCCGTGGATTGCTCCCTGCTATTACACTGGGTGCAACCCACCCCTGAAGAGGTTCCTTAATGGGACCAGGTTGCCCAGAGAGGTGGTCACTGCCCCATTCCTGGAACCATCCCAGGGGAGGTTGGTTTGGGCTCTGAGCACCCTGCTGTGGTCATTGATGTCCCTGTTCCCTGCAGGGGATGACCTCAAGAGGTCCCTTCCCAGCCAAACTGCAGGATGCCATGAGAACTCAGCCCGTTCCCAGAAGAGCAGTGTCCACACCCACACTCACCACCATGCCAATGTTGTTCTGCTGCCCCCCCGGTGCCATCTCCACGCACTCATCGATGACCAGGTTCATGAAGGGGTCGAAGCCCCTCAAGATCCCCTGGACGTGTCGGCCGCCGTTTAACTTCACTGGAAGACACAGGGGGGGTGACAGGGGACTGCTGAGCACCAGCACCTCGTGTTTTCCCACCAGAGCTGCAGCTTTGAAAGCAACTGGTGCCACGAGATGGCAAGTTCTGCTAATCAGGAGGCATTTACAGTCTTAGAAGGGTTTAGGTTGGAAAAGAGCTTTCAGATCATAGAGTCCAAACCCCCCCCCCTCCCCAGCCCTGCCAGGGAGCACCCACCCGTGTCCCTCACCCCCCAGCTCCACCGCT